GGTGTGGGCCTCCTAGTTGGTTCCAAATCCAGCGGGCAATGAGGACTAACCATTACACCTCTTCACTAAAACTCATCGTCAGCAGAGCAGGAGACCCTGGCTATCCCTAAGCCAGGAAGTGGTAACTGGATAGGAGCAAAGGGAAGACAGTGAATTAGTTCTAGTTATCGTTGTCACCAAATACCTGATAGAAGTAACTTAAGGAAGGAGTGTTTGTTTGTTTTTATGGTTCATAGTTGATGGAGATCCTACCCATCGGGACAGGAAGGCATGACAGCTGGGGGCGGGGCTTGTAGTGCAGCTTCCTCATATCTCTATAAATCAGGAAACTCAGGCAGAAACAAGTGTGACCTTCAAGCCTCACCATCTCCACACCCAAAAGGCTTCATAACCTCCCAGAACAGCGCCACCTTCTGGAGATCAAGCATTCAAGCACATAAGCCTGTGAGGGACATTTCACACTCAAACCTTCCCAGGCAGGAGGAAGGAGGAACTCACATGGGCCTCCTATCTCTTGCTCTAGAGACACTCCCTATTTGGACTTCTGGGTACAGGACCAAGAGGATCCTGACAGTGCACTGACAAGCCAGCCTAATCAAAACGGCAAACTTCCAGTTCAGTGAGAAACACTGTCACAAGGCAATAAGGAAGAGATACTCAGTATCCTGCCCTGGCCTCTCTCCATGTGCACCCATGAGTACATGCTCCCATACACATACATGCACACCTGCAACACACACACAAACTTTAAAAATTTTTATTTACTTACTTTGGTTTTTTGAGACAAAGATTCTCTGTGTAGCCTTGGCTGTCCTGAAACTCTCTTTGTAGACCAGGCTGGCTTCAAACTCCCAGAGATCCACCTGTCTCTGCCCTCTAGGTGCTGGGATTAAAGGCATGTGCCACCACAACCAAGCTATTTTTATTTTTTAGCTCCTACTCATGAACAGGTTGGCTGGCAGTTACTGTTTGCTGTTTCCATGCCTACCATTCAAATGTTTTATTGAATGCAGCCATGGCTTGAACTATCAGAGACACAAGAGGACTTAACCTCTTACTTTATTCTTTTGTGACAGGGTCTCACTATGCATGTATGTAGCCAGGGTGGTCTCTGTCTCTCCAGCCTCCACTTTCAGAGGGCCAGGATCACAGGTCTGTGACACTATTTCTGCTCTTACTTTTTACATTTTCTTTCCGGCTGTGGCCCTCAGCAGGAGGAAACCTGGCTCAGAGGCCGTGTGGAGAGAGATCTGCTTGACCCACTGGCCATCAAGGCAGACCATCCTCTACACCAGAACTCTCCAAGGGCTCCTGAAAGCTGATGTGGAGTGACCACCCACCACCTTGCGTAGATGTAGCCCCAGCCAGAATCCCTCACACGCGGGGTGGGGTGGGGGGCGCAGTGGGGGGAATCTGCTGTTGCACAGACCCCTCCCTCCTGTCTCTTCTCTGGGCATCTGGAGCATCTGGAAAATATTCCTATTCTGACTCAGGAAATGCACCTCAGTCCTACGCTGGTTCCCAAAGGGCTGCACAGGCAGTGCAGAGGAGGGGTTGGGGGATGACAGGGACATGATTCCTCTCCCTGCCCCCACTTCCAACAGACAAGAGAAGGGGGAAACACGGAGGGACACAGAACCACCCCAGTAAACAAGGAACCCTTCTGGACAGAAGACACAGGGACTTGGGTGGGGGTTGGGAACTGTGGTAGCCTCAAACTCCTGATACTCTTGCCTCAGCCTCTCAAATGCTGGGGTTGCCATGATCTCCCCTAGAGCCTGAGGTCATGCCCCAGCGTCAGAGCTAGGTAGCGTCACTGGATGTGAATGGGGATTTTTTTTTCTCTAGTGTGTAATTTCTTTTCTGGAATTTTCCATATTGAAGGCTACACTTGTAGCCAGAAAGTGGTGTTTAAAAATGAGTAGAGACCTGGAGAGATGGCTCAGTGGTTAAGAGCACTGGATGCTCTTCCAGAGGCTTCAGGTCCGATTTCTATTCTCAGCACCCACATGGCAGTCTGAAACTTCAGTCCTAGGGGATCCCACACCCGCCTCTGGCCTCTTCCGGCATCAGGCACACACTTGGTTCACAGACATCTGCACACATTAAATAAATAAACAAATATATATAAGTGCTTGGAGAGGCCAGCTCGGTGGGTAAGATGCTTGTTAGGCTAGCAAGAGGACCTGGGCTTCGATCCTCAGAACCAGGTAAAGCTCAACATGGAGGCATGTACTTAACCTTGGCAATGGGGAGGCAAAACCTGGCAGATCCATGGGACTTGCTGGCCAGCCAGCCCAGCCTATTTGTTTGGAAACTTCAAGCCAGTGAGAGCCCCTGACTCAAATAAAAAAACAAAAGCAAAAAACCACCAAGGCTCCGGGCGGTGGTGGCGCGCGCCTTTAATCCCAGCACTCGGGAGGCAGAGCCAGGCAGATCTCTGTGAGTTCAAGGCCAGCCTGGTCTACAGAGTGATATCCAGGACAGGCACCAAAGCTACACAGAGAAACCCTGTCTCGAAAAACCAAAAACAAAAGCAAAAAACCAACCAAGGTGCTGTGGGATAACGCTTCTGTACATTGGTTTAATAAAACGCTGATTGGCCAGTAGCCAGGCAGGAAGTATAGGTGGAATAAGCAAACAAGGAGAATTGTGAGAAGAGGAAGGCTGAGTCAGGAGACGCTAGCCTGCCATCCAGGGAACAGCATGTAATGGCACACAGGTAAAGCCATGGAACACATGGTGACATATAGGTTAACAAAAATGGGCTGAGTTTAAGTGTAAGAGCTAGTCAGTGGTAGGCCTGAGCTAATAACCAAGCAGTTTTAATTAATATAAGCCTCTGCGTGTTTACTTGAGTCTGAGCAGCTGCGGACCAGGAAGGACACAGAAAAACTTTCAGCTACACCAAGGCTGTCCTCTGGCCTCCATGCACACAGATGCACACAACACCCTCCTCCACATACATATGTACACACACACACATACACACACACACACACACACACACACACACACACACACACACACAATACCCACAAACAAAAATCCAAAAGCGGCCCCAACAGGGCCTGCTCTGAACAGGCTCCTCAAGCTTTCCCAGCCTGATCCAGGTGCACTGGGTAGCCCTCGCTCCAGTGGCTCCCCGGAGGTTTTCCATCTGTTTCCTGTCTTCAAACACTGAGGCCTGGAGTGGGGAAAGGGACACTAGGCATTTGTAGATCCTCTGGGACACCTCAATCCTCACAGAAGCCTAAGCCAGTGTGAGCAGGGCCCGCTGCAGGACCTTCCTGCTCCTGGGTCACGCCTTGGTGACAGTCCATCCTGGACCATGCCACTGCTCCAGTAACCATATGTGCTGGCTACATGTGATGCTGTGGCTGGATAGGTAGGAGGAAGGTCAGCGGCATGGGGGTCCCACGCCATGAAGCAACCTTGCTCTTCTGTCCAGCCTCCCGCCCTCTCTAGTTCTGGCATTGATAGACAGCTCCATGGAAAGGCCACATTCAGGGCTGGAGAGGTGGCTCAGTAGGCAAGAGCACATGCGGCCTGAGCCCGAGGACCTGAGACCCCCAGCACCCACATTGAATACTTTTTCTTTTGGTACAGCCATGCACACCTGTAACCGCAGTACTGTAGAGAGTGCAGACGAGATCGCTGGGGCTTGCTGTTGGTGGGAGGTGAGGTTCCCCCATTACCATCTAGGAGGCACAAGAAAGCCCATGCTCCTGGGCAGATGGGAATGACGGAGTGTTTGCTTATGTGAATGGGAGGTGGGTACCCCCATCACTGGATGGGAGGCATACGTGGGCTGGGTTAATGGATGACAACTGCCTAAGTCTGTCTGTGGCTGGAGGACAGACGATGGGAATGAACATGGGAACAGTTCAGCCTTGAGGAAGGAGAACCTGCCAAGGGCCTTAGAACTGGGGGACTCAAGCAAGCTGGCTCCATGGACCCGACCGTCCCATTCTGCCGGTGCCATCGGCACTCGAACCCATAACTTGGGATCCTTGACTTAAAGACTCCGTGAGGCCGCTGACCATCAACTCATTTGCCAGTGAAACCCCATGTGTCATCGGGTGGCCTTCAGAAGAGTGTGGGCAGGCCAGAGAGGTGGAGTCACTCCTTAGACAACTCGGCTTGGAGGCGGCAAGTGAGCCCTGTGTTCTTCTCATCGCTGGGAACCCCACGATGCAGGAAGGGGATGTGGTGAGGTGATAAGTGTGCATCGCCCCAAATTCCTGCCTTATTTGGAAATGGGGTCTTTACAGATGTAATTAAAGATCAAGATGACATTATTCTGGGTCAAAGCGGCCCCTTCATCTAAGGAGAGCATCTCTCAAGACATACAGAAAAGGGTGTGTGAAGACAGGGGCAGAGCCTGGAGCCATGCAGTCTCCAGGAGCAGGCAGAGGCAGAGGACTCGCTTCTCGAGACTGGATGGAGCAGGGTCATGCCCACACTTGGTCTGAGGCTTCCAGAGTGATGGGAATGTAGACAGATTCTGTTGTTCTAGGGAGCCTGGCTTGTGGTCATTTGTTGCAGGAGGTGCGGGACATCAGAGCACACAGAGGAGCCAGGGCCAGGGCTCCTCCCTTCTTCCCATCCCAGCTGGCTCAGCCAGGCCCCCGGAACCACATATTGTTTAGTTCTCTTTGAATAACATTATTGAAATGGCCAGTTCATAGGGCCTAACAGTACAATTTAGATTTGTATTCATGTGCATAAGTGTGTCCGCCACGTGTGTACAGGTACCATCAGAGGCCAGGAGAGGGCGTCAGATCCCCTTGGAGCTGGAATACAGGCGGTTCTGACCCACCTGAATGGGTGCTGTTGAGTGAGTTGTCTGGAAGGGCACTTTTCACCATGGGGCTACTGGTTCTGCAAGTCTGGATTCAGGGTCCCACATAGCCCCATCTCTTCCAGCAGGAGCCTCCAACCACCTGCTAATGGACCACACAAGTCCTGAGGCAAGAGAACCCACTGCCACTCTAGACTGTATTTGAAACATTTATTTCAGGAAATACATTTCAACACTTTGTTATTTATACAAAAAGAGACACCCCTACCCCAGGAGCCCCCCAGCAAAAGGCCATGTGGAACAGCCTGGCGGACGAACAGTTTTCAGTGGCTGGTTACAGAGGCATGACATCACCCTGCTGACATGGGCTGCTGCTAAGTCCCCAGGGACACTGGGCTGGAGAGGCCAAGGTGCCCTGGGTCCAGCATGCTAGAGATTTCCTTCAAAGTCCTGATTTTGGAAAAAGAACTTGGCAAGCTGGCACGCGAGCTGTTCAGCTGCAGGGCTCGATGAGGGGCCTTCCACACTTGGGAGGGGGAGTAGACACCCAATGCAGGTTGCGATGTGCACCCCTCAACTGTCTGCAACCCCCCCCCCCCCCCACTGCACTTCTAGGCTGCAAGAAGCTAGCCCGGGGTCTGTAGAGGCATCTTCCCCAAGTGGGTCCAACCTGTCTACACTCACCACGCTCCTCCCAGAAACGGGACAAGAATGGCAGGCAAGCAGAAAGGGCATGGCTTTGGTCAGCTGTTCATCGATGGTCCCTAATGGATCCCTCTGAGCGAAGAGGAGGGAGCCAGGCTCTGCTGCGAAACCTCGCCCTGTGGTCTGGCTATCTATCCCTGACCCCCTCATCTCTCCGTCCTTGGGGGTATAATGATGGGTTCTGGGACACAGGGGTCTAGGCACATGTAGACAGCAAAATGGTCAGGTTTCCCTGGTTCCCACCCAGCGCAGTCACTGAATCATCCCGGCTTGAGCCTGGGCAGTATGTGTAGGGGTGGGGCGGGCCAACTGGGTGACAATGTAACCAGAGCATCTTGGGCCAAACAGAGGACCAGACGTACACCTTCCCTGGCACCCGGCAGGGCAGCTCCCATGTACCCTTCCACCTTCCTTCCATGCCTTCCTCCCTCCGCTCCACCAAGTCTGCTCTGACCTCTCTAGGATCGGGAGGGGCGTGGGGTGCATCTTTCATGCTCCGTCTTGATAAAGCCCGGTGCAGTAGCCGTGTCTACAGCACAGGGGAGGAGGTCAAGGGCAGGGAGGAAAGAAGTCCCTCTCCCCAGCTTTTCATCCAAGGGACAGCTGGGAAGAGGGGACCGGCTCTCGTGGATCAAGGCACTTTCTGCTCTGCGACAAGCTTAGGGAGAAGGGGCATGGCTGTCACTATGTCTACGTGATTGGCAACTTTGGTTGTGGATGTCTCTAGTTTCCTTGGGGGGCGGGCAGCTGAGGGCGTTGTCCACAGTGACAGATGGGGCTCCAGGACCACCTGGCCAGCTCCATCCTGCCCTGGGCGCGGCCTGTTTTTGAGGCTCTGGCCATGGGGACTTGTGGCTTAATGGGCTCCTCCGCAACCCCCCTAGGACCTGGTCCCCACAGGCTTCAGCTCAAAACTCAGAGTGGGCAGGGATGCACAGCTCTTCTAACCCCTCAGGGGCTGAGCCCAGTCCAGCCTTCTGAGCATGGAGAGGGAGGAGGGCCCAGAGGCGAGCCCAGGCCGTAGTCCCGCCCACCCTGCTGCTGCAGCCAATAAGAGCACACCTGGGAGATAAGCCCTCTCTTGTTACTGGGCAGAGTGTGGAAAGAGGAGGAGGCGGGTGACAAATGGAGTCAATTATATAAAATAAGACAGGGTAGGTGGGTGGGCCAGGGAGGATGAGAAGATTTGGGGGCGGGGTCCAGGGGCGGGATGGCATCTACATCTCCTGGGCTTCTGGCTCCTTCTCCTCGACCCCGTTGGCCATGGCGCTGTTGCCTTCGTTGAGGCGTTTCACACGGTAGGCTTCGAAGTGGATGCTGCTGGTGATGTCCTTGATATTCTGCATGTGCGTCCTGCAGGGGGTGTGGCCAGTGTGGGGTGACCTTAGCCTGCCTGGGGTCACAACCACTGCCCCTCCCTCCCGGCCCTTAGAGGCAGCCTGCAGGCTCTTGGTGTACACAGAGCAGGTCCAGGCAGTCTGCCCTCTGGTGACTCCAGACCCTCTGCTGGCTCTCATTCTAACCCATACCTCCTTCTCTCTGTGTCCATTCTGTGGCTATCCAGGGGCCTGGGGCCTGCACAAGGATGCAGACTGAGCACTAACAACACAAACTCGAAAGGTCCCAAGGCCCCTGACCAGTGGGCAGGACTAGAGTATCTGTGCTCCAATGCAGAAGTTCAGACTGTGGCCAGCAGGAGTCATCAGGTGACCACGGTCCCCAGAGCGGTCCACCCTGCCATGCCTAGCTCCTTTTTTTTTAGTTTCCTTTTGCAGGTGGGAGCCAGGGCCTTAAGCCTGCCAGGCAAGCTCTACCACTGACCCCCACAGCAGACTACCACTCCCCTTTAGGAAAGGGAAGCTGGAAGGGCAAGGAGCCCCAAAGGTGGTAAGGTTTGCTCTTAGAAGCCCTACCCCAGGTCCCTTGCTCTGCATCTCTCCCCCTATTAATATATTTTAGTTATACAAAATAATAGGGTTCATTATGATATTTTTCTTTTGTTTGTTTTGAGATAGATAGCCCAGGCTGTGCCCTTAGGGACACAGCTGAATCCAGGGGGAACTGGAATTCAGCCCCTTCATTCTGGTGAGCTCAGAAAGCTAGAAAGAATTCCCATTTCCTCATTCACCCACAAGAGGGTTTTGTTTTGTTTCCAGCTTTAGACAATGGGCTTCAGAGGTGTTCCCAAGGGCAGGGCTGACAACAAGCAGCTGCTGTGGAGGTGGAGGCCTCTGCCCACCCATCCACCATCACTCCTAGATCTGGTCCTCTCCAGGGGCCTTCAGAGCCGATGACTGACTTACCTAATGAGGAGATCCCGCAGGTAGGCGAATTCACAGTGAGTGGTATTCTCAACTGAGAAAAAGAGAAGGATGTTCAATGTCCTGTCAAAAGAAGCCCTCCTCCCCTATCCAGTAATGCCAACAGCTTCCAGAAAGCCCCACCCACTTGTGGGTGGGGGGGAGAGAACAGGCATGTGATTGACAGCTACTCAGCTAGTTTTGGAGTCACCTGGGAGACACACCTCTAGTGTGTCTGAGGGTGCATCCAGAGAGGTACAGCTGAGGGAAGACCCACTCTGAATGTGGGCAGCATCATCCCGTGGGCTAGGGTTTTCTGGATGAATAAAAGGAGAAAGTGAGCTGAATTCAGCACTCACTTATCTCTGCTTCCTGTCTGTGGATGCCATGTGATCAACAGCCTCTTGTCAAGCTACCGTGACTCCCCACCATGATGGACTGCACCCCGGAACTGTGAGCGTTCCAGGCTTGGGTGAATCTTGGCCTCTCTGACGCAGTTTCCCAATAACACGGGCTAACGGCTCAGTGGATACGGCATTTGCGGCCAAGCCCAACACCTGAGTTTGATTCCCAGAACCACATGGTGGAGAGAACCGACTCTTGCAAGTTGTCCTCTGACTCCCACATGTGTGTTCTGGCACGGGCAAGACTGCTTCCCCCAATAAAATAAATAAGTTAATAAATAAATGTAAACAGGAATTTAGGAGGGAGAATGTTATGGTTCATGCCTCGGGGGCACAAAAGGACCAAGTGAGCTAACAGTGTAATTGGACTTTGTGAGGCTTTTGACTACATTATGCTCAAGGAACAAAGTAGCTTTCCATCCCCCAGGCAGTATTCCGGCCAGCTTCCAAGGATGGAACAGGCACTTCGGATGGTGTACACCAAGGAGGAGGTAAGGAGCGGGCACAACTGGATACAGCTTGTTCAGTTGTGAACTCACAGGGTGTGTGTGTGTGTGTGTGTGTCCCTGATAGGAACTCCTACCATGTTCTGGTAAGTCCCCAGGGTCCTCACAAGAAGGCTACTGGATGTGGGAACCAGGCGAGCACCTTTACAGGTCCACACAGGCTGTGTGGACCTTCAGCTGTGAGCAATCATCTAACCTGGTTAATTAACTTCCTGACAATTTCTCATGGAGTGTATGCAGTACCCACGTTGGCCACCAGAGGTCAGAAGAGACACGCCAATAGCCCATGCCATTCTCAGATCCCGGGTGGACTCTTACTCCCAACTGTCCTCACTTCAAACCATGCCTTGCACATTTGGGGAGGGATGCAAAGAGGATGAGCAGAGACAGGAAGGAGGGACTGAGGGAAACAAAGCTGAGGACAAGCTTTTGACCTCTGGGTCACCTCTGGGGTCATCATCTGCCACAGAGGGGCATGCTACAGAAAGCCACAGGCGCCTAAAACAGCCAGGGCATATTTAGAAAATATCCCCACAGCAGCCCACCTAGAAGACCCACATGGAGGGCACAGAAGTCCTTAGTGCTCACCTCAGAAAGACCCAGTAACAACTCCTAACTCCAGAGGCTCCAGTGCAGGGCTGCATGTGGAACCCCAAATCACTGCCCAGTCTGGAGCCCTGGCTGTCCATTCATTATGTTCTCACATCCCGCTTTTCCTCCCTAGCTCTCCCTTGACCTCACTGTCAGATTGATGATACTGAATCCCGGATCCTCCTGCCTCCACTTCTCAAATGCTAAGATCACAGATGGGGATCAGCCAACCTGGGTTATGTGGTACAGAGCATGGTTAAGTACAGAACTCAGTTAAGGCTAGGCAAGCACTCTACAGAACTTGTCCCTCTAACTCAGTGGTTCTCAATCTGTGGGTCACAACCCTTTGGGGGTCAAATGACCCTTTCACAGGGGTCACCTAAGAACATCGGAAAACAGATATTTACATTAGGATTCCTAACAGTAGCAAAATTACGGTTATAAAGCAGCAATGAAAATAATTGTATGGTTGGGGGTCAGCACATCATGAAGAACTGTATTAAGGGGTCCAGCATTAGGAAGGTTGAGAACCACTGCTCTAACTCCTCTCTGAAAAGAGGATGAGTAAAGGGACCTGGAGAGCTGAAAGGGTTAAATGATAATCCACTAAGCGGGGGAGGGTCCTGAGCTGGAAGCTTCCAAGTTCACAGCTAGGAACATCATCACCAGATTCTTAGATAAACTGATCCCCAAAGAGCTCTAGCAGGCCTGGTGTGGTGTGTACCCCTATAACCCCAGCACTGGTGTGGTGTGTACCCCTATAACCCCAGCACTGGTGTGGTGTGTACCCCTATAACCACAGCACTGGTGTGGTGTGTACCCCTATAACCCCAGCACTGGTGTGGTGTGTACCCCTATAACCCCAGCACTGGTGTGGTGTGTACCCCTATAACCCCAGCACTGGTGTGGTGTGTACCCCTATAACCCCAGCACTCAGGAGGCCAAGGCAGAAGGACTTGAGTACCAGATCATCCCAGCCTACAGAGCCAGCCCAAAACGAACCAAAAGAACAGCCCTCACCATCTGGAACATCTCACATCACCTAGACCTTAGGGCGTAGCCCTCATTTATAAAGTGTGCAGACTGAGGCTCTGGAGAATTGGGGACTCACCCCAACTCACAGAGCCTCAACTTTCTGCTCCCCTGTGGGGCCTTTCGACCACACTGGTCACAAGGAACAAACCGGGTTTTTATCTTCCGGGCAGCTCTGTCCTTCCCCATCCTCCATTCTACTGAGGAGAGGAAGAACTGAAAGAAAGGCCCTGGGACCATCCCACCTGGGGGCTGACCTGGACCCCAGAGAAGACCAGAGTTCCAGCCCTCAGGACTTGGGACAAAGTAACTAAGTCTATGACAAAGTAATTAAGTTCAAGAACACAGGTGCACCCCACAGTCAATGTCCTTCCAAGGGGGAAGAAACAGGGCCCCACAGTGCAGCGGATGAGCGCCCACGCTCAACGACAGGTCGAGACACGGTGGCAGCGCAGCAGCCAGTACCTTCAATGGTGCCCCATTTGGTCTTCCTTCCCAGGATCCTCTTGCCATTGACTTGATACTCATGGTCACTGCCCACCACAGCAAATGGGATCATCTCCTGGAGAAGGGGCAGAAGAATTAGCCTCACATGCTCCTGGGCCTTGGACCTGGGAAACTGCAGGCCTTGGCTCCAGAGGACCAGGGCTAGACACGTGGACACCCATCCTTCTCTAGCCATCCCACCACCGCCCCACCGCCCAGCTCCTGGTGACCCACTCACCCGGAACTTCTCATTCACCAGCCGGTCCTCTGAATCCTCATCAAACTCCTTCTGGGGGTACACATCAATGCCATTGGACAGTAGGTCTGCAGTAATCTGGGGGACATAGAGGTGTGGTCCCTGAATCAGACTAGCAGCCATCAGGTGCCCGAGCCGGGAACCCCTACAAAGGCAGGCTCTGCGTGGCCCTGCCCTGAGAATGTCTCATTTTTTGTAAAGATTCATTTTATTTTTATTTCATGTGTACTAGTGTTTTGCCCGAATGTATGCATGTGCCCCACATGCATGCCCACTGCCCAGAGAAGCCAGAGGAGGGCATGGGAGTGCCCTGGAACTCGTTGTGAGCTGCCTGTGAGTGCCGGGAATGGAACCAGGGTCCTCTGCAAGAGCAGCAACTGCTCTTAACCCCTGAGCCATCTCTCCAGCCCCACCCCCACTTTTTTAGGAGACAGTCTCTAGCTCAGGCTGGCCTCAAACTGGCTAGGTAACCCAGGACAACCTTGAACTCCTGATCCTCCTGCCTCTGCCTCCCAAGGGTTGGTGTTATAGGTATGTGCCACCATGCCCAGTTTTATGTAGTGCTGAAGATCAAACCGTGAGCCTTCTGTATGCTGGGCAAGCACTCTATCACCTGAGCTACATTCCACTGAACCTCGAGTTCTGGTACCTCTGCACTAAGAAGGGACTCACCTGGCCTGAGGGGCCCTGCGATCACTGTCCTGAGAATTTCCCCATGTTTCCTGTGTAGCTCATCACTACCCCCCACCCCTGAAAATAACTCAGGATTGCTGAGTCCTCTTTCCTAAAACCCTCTAAGGATTAGCATGGCTCCTTCTTGAGGCTCAGAGTGTACCTGCCTGCTGAAATGCTCTCCACCTTGATGACAGCCTAGGTAGTTGATAGTCGATAGAGGACATCCCAGGGGACAGCTGTCTCATTTGCCCAAGCAGATCCAGGCTCTCACACACTGGAGAGCTTTCTGGTCTCTGGCAGATACAACCCCCAACAACCCTTCCCTGTGCATGCTGGGAAAATCCCTGCTACATGGCCTGGGATGGAAGCCCTGGGAGCCTCTGGAATTGGATTTGGGGCCTCCCAACCCCAGGCTGGAGCTCCCAGGAGGTTCTGAAGTATGGCCTTGTTCAGAAGAGGCGCAGGACTCTCTGCAGAGGCCCACAGGGGCACCCCGTCACCCAGCCAGCAGTGGCCTCGACCGTGGCAGAAGAGAAAGCCACTGAGGCAGACAGGCCCTTTTAGCTTTCTTTCGCACCTAATAAAACCCAGGTGTGCTGGGTCCGACGGCTCTGAGACATTTGCCTCCACTTGGGCTACTCCAAAACCTACTGAGGCTGCTGGAAATGGGGGCCCCCAGCAGCCACCCAGGCCAGGGGCTCCCCCAATGCTGGACACATGCTGTGAAGGGCTGAAGGGTGACTTTCCTATCATGTATCCCCTGAGCTGGATAGGCCCCTCCCTGTCAGGCCTATAACTTGTCTGGGCAGTCCTCGAGGGAGCGGGGGCTGAACAGAGGCCATGCATCCTACCCGTTGTTTGAAGTAGACCCTCTCCTCCAGGGTCAGCGTGTCAGCCTTGGCGATGACTGGGACGATGTTGACCACCTTGCTTAGGCGCTTCATGAATTCGATGTCCAGGGGTCTAAGCCTGAAACGGAACAGTGCAAAGGAGACTCAGTGCAGGGATCCCTGGCCTCAGGTCTCACAGTGGAGGCCATTGGTAGAGGGGCAAGGCTGGGGCTTGGAAGGGTGCAAGGTGAACGCTCCCCCTATTGAGTTGAGGTTGGAGAGCCGGAGTGAAGCTGGCTCTAAGTCCCCTCATCCACAACTGTCACTAGGAGCCCAACGGGCCCTGGACATTGCCCGAAGAGTGACTTGGCTCATATCACTGTCACGCCTTGGGGACAGTGTCGGGGAGAAGTGGGAGACAGTGTCCACAAGCTCTGGGCCCTGGGACAGGCTAACTGTCCCCCAGATCAGCCTGGCTCCAGACAGCCAGGGTCTGATGCAGGGGGCAGGGGGGAGGCTGGCAGAACCCGAGTGTGGGCATCATTTTCCCGTTGAAACTGCATTTTCTCCATAGTGTATTGTCAGGCCCAGACAGCCTGTGGGAAGCGAAGCTGCAGGCGGAGGTCTGAGCGAAGATGGCCATAAGCCACTGCTGTCCCTGGGGACTGAGAGTCAGGGGAAGGGAACTAGGCGAGGTGCCCAGCTGGGACCCTAGCCCAGAGGATCACCACTGGGGGCACGCCCTCGGCTCTCCCCACTGAAGCCATGTTGGCCCTGTCTCCTGCTGTAAGTCCTGGCCTTGCCCCAGGCTGCGCTCGGAGTAGCTGCAGAACCCCAACTGAGCCAGGCCCAGGTGAGGAGACCTGATGGCACCCCCTGCCATGAACGGGCTCTGGTTGGCCCCACAGGAAGATGGTCACTGCTGGCAAGCTCAGATACCCATATTTGGATTTTTCCAACCAGACCACAGTGAGCCTTATGGCATCCAGACAGGGTGCAAGATGCAAGGTCCCCTCAAAGCCTCGGCTCTTACAGCCAGGGATGAGCCTGAACAGCCTGGGGTGCACAGATTCCAGCCGCCATAGCCAGGAGGCACCAAACCTGGGAGGCCGCAACAAGCCACCTCCAGCTCCTACTGCCTACACAGCAACTGGCCTGTGCCCTACATGGAGTCAGGACAAGTGACAAGGGTGTCCAGCAAGGAGGGGGGCAGCAGCTATGTACTGGGACAGAGGAGATTCACAGGGAGCCAAGAACCCTGGTCACTGAGACCATCCAGAGTCCCCCTGCCCTGGGGGAGGGAAACTCTGAAAGGCACCTGGTGCTCCCACACCTTGCAGGCCCCAGGAGCATCTTTGGCGAGGACAGGAAATGGCTGAGGCATAGAAGACAGAGCATACTCATTGTTTTCTGTGTCTCACACAGCCAAGTTCCTCAGTGGCCAAGGAGGTAAGAGCACCCCCCAGGCGTGGAGAAAGTCACGTGACTGCTAGAGTGGACTCACACTCGCATAGCCTGAGAGTCTCATTGAATCTGCAGAGCCTGCCTACCAGACTCCAGAACATCCCTGCCTGCCAGTCCTCAGCTCTCTGGATAAAGAAAAGAAAGCAGAACAGGCAGGAAACTACCCAGTCCAGAGGTCACAGAGACCCTCTACGGACACAGACACCCACATCACAGCTGCTGACACGGCCCTGACTCAGTGTCCCGTCCCACTCGCCCCCACCCCCTCCCCACCACCCCCGTGCCTGTGCCCAGGGGCTGGGGGGACAGAGTCCTCCTGCACGTAGCCCCACCAGTGTTGGAAACGAGAGCTCCCACCATCGAGACAAAGGCCCCGAAGGGGACGTACGAGTGGCCGGTGGCTGGGATGAAGTAGAGGCAGCAGTGGACTCGTGTGTCGGGGATGCGCTTCTTCCGGTTGATGTTGACTTCCTCCTGCAGGTACTTCTCATACTGATCGTTGATGAACTTCATAATAGGCTGCCAGCTGCATGGAGATCCGGGTTAGCCAGGACCTGGGACCCCTCCTGCCCATGCTGGGGGCGTGTCCTTTCTAAGCCCCCAAGCCCCCATGGCAGGCTAATTCCCAGAACTGGCTTGGCACCCAGCCTCCTGACTTCATGCAGGAAGGGTTGGCTGTTACAAAGAGAAGCCAGGCTTATCTCAGAGTCTTTTGCTTACATTCCCCATGCTGGTCTTTGTCCTGGGGTGGGAGGGCATGATTCCCAGGTGACCCCATTTTGATCTAGACCGTTAGACCCCAAATGCATGGCTTTAGGGTTTGGAGCGGTCTTATCTGGATATCTGACCTCAGGTGGTATCCCATAGCCCCAAGCCCAGTGGGGCTCTCCCACCTGAAGGAAGCTTCCTTAAGGTCACCTACCAATTTTCATTGTTGATGTGGTCTCCAAAGCCTGGAGTGTCGATCACTGTCAGCTTCATCCGGACCCCCTTCTCCTCGATATCTGCACAAACCACAGCACCCCAAGTCAGAAGGGTCACCCAAGCCCTCGGGATGCCTGACCAGCCTGGGGTGTCCCAGGCTGGGCTGTGATGACAGCTGAGGTGATGCCAGGCAGAAAGCCACCTCTATTAGAGAAGTCTGGATGATGCCTCAGCCCGGTGGGGCCCAGACCATTCCTACTCAGCCTCAATGTGCCTAGAGGGGTCATCTCTAGTGGGATGCCCTTGACCCCTGCTCCCAGTCTCAAACCCCACTTCCATGGAACTGACCATGGGTAATGGACTTGATTTCGATCGTCTTGGGGATGCGTTCCTCCGAGGTGGGCTGCACTGACTTCCGGCTGATTTTGGACTTGAAGAGAGTGTTGATTAAGGTCGACTTCCCGAGGCCACTCTGCCCTGGAGAGAGAAGAGGAGGCGAGTTGGCAGGCTCTCCGTGGGCACACAGCTCATGGCTACATCACACTGAGTCCACTGGGCTCACAGCATCCTTAGACAGCCCACATGGGCTTCACCTCCTCAAAGTCCAGGGTGGAGCTTAAACCCACAATGTGTGGCTCTGGGGCCTGGCTTAACTTGGCCAGAGCTCCATCTTGGCCCTAGAGAAGCCACCCAAAGCAGGAAGAGACACCAAGACTCCTGAGGAATGGGTCCAGACAGCTGCGGAGGGGGATGACGGCCCCCCAAACAGATGTCGGTTGCCTGTGAATCTGGGCAGAGCAGACACACTTAGACACAGGTCCCCAGACAAATCCCTGCAGTGGGGTAGCCACCAGACTCTTCTTGGTTTAGGACATCAGCCTATGGGAGGCATTTACCCAGATGCCACCCTGGAGAGTCAGCAGAGTCCTGTTCTGAGAGTGAAAAACTAATCATAGACCAGGTATGGAGGTGCATGTCTTTAATCCCAGCACTCAGGAGGCAGGCAAGATCTCTGTGAGTTCAAGGCCAGCCTGGTCTACATAAGCAAGTTCTAGCCTAGTCATAGAGAGAAACCCTATCTCTAAATAAATAAACACACAAACAAATAAAATTGACTTGTTTCTTTCAGCCAAGAAGATCCGCCTTTCACAAAGTTACTGAGAGGACCTCATGTGTGGGGCTCGAGGGGCTTCTGAGCTTGTCCATTCAGGTCACACTAATTATCAACCTACCATTGGTGACTTCTAGCTCTCCAAGGCCACAGGAGGAAGAAAGTGGCTACTCCACCCCACTTCCTGGGCGGGCAGCTTAGATGAGCCTTCAGGAAGCCTCCAGCCAGGCCTAGGGTATGAGGGCTGAGTCCCACTCAGGCCCATAGGCCAGGACTTGGGGCAATAACCAGGGGACACTCAGCAGAACTGAGAGCTGGAGGCCATTGTCACAGGTCACAGAGGGCTAACACAGGTGGCAGCCCCTCCGAGGAGTCGCTGGTGGATGTGGTCCCTTCTCCCAGCACACGCACCCGTATCTGGCATTTCATCCCAACTGTCCTTTAGGTGAGAGCTCTCCTCCCACTTTCCAGTGGGGAAGGCTGCTTGGGTGCTGGGACTGAGGCTGGTCCCCTGCACGGGCCTGGAGTGGCAACATGGTCACGTGGCGGGCAGAGGGTCTCCAACACTCACCAACCACCATGATGTTAAACTCGAAGCCCTGTTTCATAGCCTTCCTGCGCATCTGCTCCAGGATGGAGTCGATCCCCACGTAGCCAAAGTCCACGGGGGCCTTCTCGTTCCGTGGCATGGGCGCCTGCTTGAGCATGGCATCTCTCGGGCTGTCAGCCATGTCGCCAACAGAGCTGGGAGCCACCTCGGAGCCTGGGGAGGGAAAAACAGAGGCATTAGAACGGGACTGGCAGGCAGCATACTCTCAGATGGGGAAACCAAGCTGCAGAGCTCACCGACCTGCCCAAGAAACTCCTGTGGAACACTTCAGAACTTAGGCCCCCCATACGGCATCATCCAGCAGGCCCACACCCCTCAGCCACCTGCCTCTCGGGGCTGTCTCTGTTAGCTTTGCCAGCCGGGGCACCCTCTGCACACCCTTCACCTCTGCTCAGACAGCCTGCAGTAGCTGTGGGACCCAGGGCCCTTCACAGTTCAACAGGTGACCACAAGCAGGTCACAGGGGAGGGTTGATATGATCCCTATCTGCCTCTTCCAGGCCTGACTCACTCTCACTGGGAGTATCTACTCCCAGGCACCCGGCCCATACAGTCCTGAGGCAGGACAGGCAGGAAGACAGCTGTGGAGGACACCAATTGCCCCTCAGCCTCAGGCAAAGGCCATTTGAGTTAGTAGGTCTGTGATAGGCTAGGGGTTAAACTTGAAAACCCCAGCTTCCTTTAATAAGTCAGAGTTGGAGCCTTCTGCTGTGGCTATCTGAGTGCGTGGTCAGAGCCCAGGCCTGGGGGATGATTCAAACAGAGCCCACCTGAGACCCTAGGTGCTCCTACCCAGCAGGGACATGCAAAGCTGGTTCACCTGGGTGTGGCTGAACAAGAGGCTTACAGTCTACCTAACTGCTATACTGAGAAAGCCCTTCAGATGCCACTCTGAAACCCAGGTGGCTGTGAGGCTTCTGAGGTACAGATGCTGCATTGTTGAAAAAGCCTTAAAGTTACTACCTGTCATGGAAAATGTCAGCACTCTTAACAACAACTTAAGACCCCACGGCCCAGCCCCCCCAAAAAATGGCCAACACAGAGGGGACACCAGCTGCTCCCAAGTCCCCTTTCTTTATCCAACCAAGTCTGTGCTGTGCCCTGCCCCACCTCCAGGGAAGGGTTCCCCAGCTCTGACCCTGGCGCACACTGACTTGAAGGAGACTCAATGCATATTTGTGCCTCCTCCCCGCTCAGAAAGCGGGGAGTGTGGGGGCAGCCAACCAAAGGTGCTTGCGGGGAACATGAGCTCCGGACGCACACCCCCTCCCAGCAGAGCTATCCTCCCAAGTGAGCAGAGCCAGGAAGCAGCAGGAAGATGGGCCTGTACCCCAGGGACTTGGTTAAACTGCCCCTTCCCTTCCGGGGGAGAACACTAAACTCAAGCTGACTCCCCCCCACATCCTCAGCTAACTCAGCCTGGCCATCTCTGGAGTTCAGGCTTTTCTCTCCCTTTTATTGGCATGGCCAGCAGCAGCAAGCCGGACACTGCACTTCCTCTCTGCACATCCCCAAGCTTGTGTGGTAGGACGGTTAGGAGAAATGGCTTGCAAAGCCAGCTTCAGGAAAGAGGCTCGAGGACCACCCCCACAGGCGGTGGCTTTACGAGATCAGTCACTTCCTGTTTCTCTGCCTCCCTAGGGTGCAGTCACCTCTACTTCCTGGCCCTGGGGAGCTACTGCACAAGAGAATGCTTGTGAACACACCAGGAACTGCCAGAGGGTCCACACATGTGTGTCCCCAAACAATGCCACAGGCAGGTCCTAGGGGCTGGTGCCTCCCATCAGAAGCATCCCCAATCCAGGTCATGAAACAGGCCCTCTCCACAAGCCTTCAAGAGTGTCAGCTCTCCACTCAGAAATACTCCCCTGGGTTTCTAGCATCTTTAAACAAACAAAGAAGGCCCAACATCTGGCCCTAGAACCTGTGGCTTTGGGGCCCGCTTCCTGGAGAAGGACAAGGGGCCCTGCCTTGGCGCGCAGCGGTTCAGGCCTCGTTCACGTGACTGAAAATTGCTTCCATCTGTCTGAGAGTCTGAGACCCACTTTGCCCCACCCCCACCTCTCTGCTGAGCGGAGAGACGAGGAAGGGCTGGGGGACAGCTGTCCCCCAACCCTCTCTAATCACCCCCAGTCAAGGAAGGCGTGCCTCAGCCCCAGGTGGCCCCTTCTACATGCATTGAGTTTCACAGCAGAAACTCAAACCAAACTAAACATTCAGCCTGCCAGGGGCCCTGCTTGAGAAACAACAAGAACGCAGTAGAGTCCCAGCCTTCCCCCGGGCCTCTGGAAGCTCTTCTGGCATAGCCCTGGGACCCTTTCCACCAGAGCCTCTCCATCCACCTGCCTGCCTGGTTGGGAGGGGTAGACCCTCCACCCAGGGTTGCCTTTGTGATCCCAGCCCTGGATCTCCAGGAATGTGACTGACCAGAGGCTTTCCAGACCCCACTGTATCATCACTTATGTCAACAGATGCATCCTGGATCTGCACAGCCCAAGGCAGCGGCTCCTAGCTACTTCCGCCTCTAAAATGTGTGGTAAAATTTACCATCTTAGCAATGGTAAATAAGGGTTTGGGCTTCACATCTTGTAAGGACACTCACCATGGCCCTAACTGGCCTGGGACCAGTCTCTGGCAACCTTCCTGGTGTCCAAGATCCTTGGGTAAGCAGGGTGGGTGATCGCTGACTTTTGGCTTATTTCCTATAGAATAACGTCCTTCAGGTTCATCTATGCTATAGAATGTGCGTGCCTTTTAAAGGCCAACGATATTCCTTTAATGAACATTTAGTCTTTTAAAAAAAACTCAATTCATACGATTGTTTTTAAAAAGATTTATTTTTATTTTTAATTATATGTATGCATGTGTGTCTGTGTATGGGTATATGTGTGCCTGAGTATAGGTGTCCAAGAAGGCCAGAGGAGGGCATCAGATCCCCTCTGGAGCTGGAATTATAGGCAGCTGTGAGATGCCAGATGTGGGTGTTTAACTCAGTCCTCTGGAAAAGCAGTATGTGCTCTCAACTGCTGAGCCACCTCTCCAGGCTCAGCATAGTGAGTCTTTTATCCACAGGCATTTGAGTGATTGCTTCTGGTTGGCTGGTGTGAATACTACGGTGTGAACACGGATATGTAAGCACTCTTGCGGAGCTAAGACTAGCTCTCTGCCTTTCTCTCTCTCTCTCTCTCTCTCTCCTCTCTTCCCCTCAGACTCTCTCTTATATACAGTCTGGCTTCACATTCACTGATCCCCCTGCCTCAGCCTCCTGAATACTGTGATTACAGGCATAAATCATCACGCCCAGCAAGACTAAGCTTTCAACAGTTTTGGACATACACTCAGATGTGAGCTATTCTATTTTTACTTTTGAGGAACCAGCGAAATACATCCACGTGACTTCTGAGCACTGGAGTCTGAGCTAGTTCAGGAGGGATGCATTGTAAGAATCTATTTTTGCTGATTTCAGTCTTAAATACCTACATGCTCCTGACAGGTGTGCGAGGCAGCCTGGTACTCCACTTTACAGAGGGGACTCGGCGTTACACACCGATTCTTTTCTGAAAACACTACTGGATGGTCAGATGAACAAGATAAGACCTTTGCTGAACTTCTCACTCCCGAAACCTCCCCTGCGCTTCACTTGGTTATGGGCAGTGAGTTCTGTGACCCGACACCCACCTAAGGATCAGGAGTGGCTCTCTGACACCTCCCTCCTCGACCATCCAAGGCTTCAGCCTGCTCAGGGGCATCCTCAACTCCTAGCCCAGCAAGAAGCAGAAATGAGCTACTCAAGAAACAGCTAAACACCAGCAAGGCTGAAGACACCTGCCACCAAACTTAATGAGCCAAGTCCCATCTCTGCAACTCACATGGTAGAGAACTAACCCTCTGAAGTTGTCCTCTGACCTCGACATGAGGACTATGGAATGGGCTCATACACACACAGACAGAAAGAGTGACAGCGTGCTAAAATGTTCACAGATGCATCAATAAGCAGTGGCATGGTGAGTGCATCTGAGGGAACATAAGAAGCCAGAGGAAGGAAGAAAGTACGAACACGGTAGAATGCAAGTGAACCTTGAAAATACCAGACTGAGGGGGCTGGAGACATGACTCAGAGGTTAAGAGCACTGGCTGCTCTTCCAGAGGTCCTGAGTTCAATTCCCAGCAACCACTTGGTGGCTCACAACCATCTGTAATGAGATCTGGTGTCCTCTTTTGGCCTGCAGGTATACATGCAGGCAGAACACTGTATATATAATAAATAAAAAAAAAAAATCTTAAAAAGAAAATACCATAGTGAGCTAAAGAAACAGACACTTCAAGGCATGAATGACTGTGTATGAAATGCTCCGTAGAGGCAAACCCACAGGGACAGGGGAGAGTTGACTGTTGAATGAGTGTGGAGTTCCCTGCAGGGTGATAAGACCGTACTGGAATTAGACAGGCGATGGTTATATGACATCATGAATAAACACCACTAGGAGCGCTTGCTCCTCATGGCTGGGGCAGGGAGGCGCGGGAAGGAGGGTGGCACCAGGCAGGTGTTTACAGCACAGCTGGACAAAGAGTCCAGCCAGGCCACTGGCTGCACAGCTCAGGACGCCTGGGCCCCAGATGTTGACACTCAAGCTGAGGCTCTTCGGCAGATGCTAACCAGCAATGTCCTGAGCAAGTGGCCTGTCATCCCCCAGCCAAGGGTGCTTCTGAGGGGATGGCAAGTAGCTGCAGCTACCTTTGGGAGACTGACAGTCTCCCTGTGGGTCCCACTGTGCACACAGGCCATCTCCACTCCCTCCTGCCTCAGATGCCTGCTGTGAGCCCCACCTTCCCTCCAGTTGATGGTAGGACAACTGGGCCCCAAGCCACCACCATCTGAAGACTTACCCACTGAGTAACAAATTCTTCCCCGACCCCAGGCCCTGCCAAAGATGATAGGATTATGTCACCCTCCACACTCACTGTGGCAGGGCCTTGGACCACTACACTTTGGGAGGGGTTCCCAGAAAGGATGGGCCCAAGACCTTGACCCACTTGACCATGAGGAGGAAGGCTCAGGCCAATAGGCTTGCAAGGACAGACAGGAACCAACACCCAGGAGCCACCCATCTGCCGTCACCCTTCCTGTTGGGCTTGCTGGTCAGTCTTCCAGAA